CAGAACCCTCCTTCTCCAAGTCAAGTGTGGCTTCCCACTGTCTTCAGGTAGAAGGTTAAATTGCCTAAAACCTCCTTGCTAAGGAGACACAATTTCAGGTTTTTAATAGAAGAAAACATCTGGCAAGATGGATATTTATTGCAGAAAATGTTGATTTTGTAAAGAGGGCATGTTTTCTGGGAAAATCCTCCTATCAGATTTTCCATACAGAACTAATGGTTAGATTTTAATATGTCTAGTGCCTGATTAAATGTACAAGAATCATAATCAATAAATGCCGTTATAAATAAACTCTCTGCAACCTGAAAGTTCAGATTTATTTTTTTTGTTCAAGGGAATGTTAGATGATGGACATTATAGTAAAATCTAAATGAAGACTTGTAGGTAAACACAATCATTTCAAGAAGAAAAGCTTCTTGTTTAAAAAAAGAAAAAGCTTTTTGTTTAATTTATGAAGCTTATAAAAATGTAGTGTTGTTGTAACCCTGTCAGGCAGGGTCTATCTTGAACTGGCTCCAATATGGTCCTCTAGGGCTGGGACTGACCATCAGTTGATGGTGAGTCCCAGCCCCCATACAGCATCAGAATCTCGAACCAGCTCCAGTGTAGTCCTGGGGCTGAGATCAACAATGGGTTCTGAAGCAGTGCTGAAAAAATCAGTTGACTGTTGGTCCCAGCCCTGGCACCATACCAGAGACTTGACCCTTCCCCCCATTCCCCTCCCTGCCCCATCATGTCACACATTACACTTAGCATGACTGTCTGATTGTGTAGAACACATTCTAACTTTGAATACAGCATAGTAATGCTAACTACAGTATAAATAGAGTATATGTTAAATGTCCCACGAGATGAGACTCAAAGATCTGGTTCTAGATTCTCCTTATCTGAATCAAAGCCATGTCTCCCACTTTCTAGAAGAGTGCCCTAAGCCCTGGCTGTTGAAGCTGGGGCACTGTGCAGGTAAGAATGCAAGTCAAGGGATCAGAGAACAATAAATACTACCCATTTTCTTTATACTCATAAAACAGTTTTGTAATGGTCTTCTTTGGGTGCATAGAGGCCTGTTCTTTGTCTTTACTTCTATATGGCCTTTACTTGTAGAACTGAAGAAACATTAAAACAGAAAATGGCTATACTGGGCTAGACTAAAGGTTATTAGCTTAATATCCTGCTTCTAACAGGGTGATGAATTTATCCTCCATAAACTGGTCTAGTCTTTTTTTTCTTACAAAATTGGCCTCTACAACAATCCTGTGGCTATAATTTCCATCTGTTAATTATTGCTGTATAAAAAAGAGATCCTTTTGTTTGT